TGATAGCTGGGCACCATCAGCTTTCTTCACCACATTTGCTTATGCACATGTTTGTCTTCAGTGATCATATCAGGAAGGTGGCACCCACTGATATGATTTTTAGTTCTTTGATGTCTGATAACTGGTCCCTTCTACATTCGTGGTCAGACAGGCTGGTGTGCTTCTTCCATGTGGGCTTTGATGTAATATTCGTTCTTAATGTGACCATGAGTTTGCATTTTGCTTATCAATTTGTCTAAAATAGGTTGGATTAACAACAACACTACTCACTAGAAAAATGCACATCCAAGTGGTCTTTCAGTTTGGCGTCAATCATAGAGATGTTCAGCTCGCAGAGGGATGTCAAAGGGAATGGAAGAAACGATGTTGAAGCACTGTCAGCAAACTCAGGATACCCGTGTTCAACTGCTTTCCACAGGAAGCAAGCAGTGCTGGACACTGTATCTTCACTCCTTTATTGGTCTCCCTCAGTGCCACGGAGTCGGTGCCAACTCATGGAGATCCTGGGGGACAGGGCAGACCTGCCCCTTTATCAACAGCTAGTTTTGATCATGTGTCCCATAAAATTGCAATTATATATAAATTATATATATATATAATAATTTTTATGCATTTGGGGGTACTAGTTAGCGAGCAAAATATCACACTGTGTGTATAGTCATGGGCCCCTGGATGGGGCAAACAGTTTGTGCTTGACCCAAAAGTTGGCATTTTAATCTGCCCAGTGGTGCCACACAGGGAAGCCCTGGTGATCTGCTTCAATAAAAATCAGAGCCGAGGAAACCCTATGGAGCAGTTCTGCTCGCTAGCACATGGAAGTCACCATGCATTGGAATCAATTCGCCTGCAATGGGTTTGTGATTTTGTTTTTGTGTTTTTTATTTTAGTGGAGTCCTGCTGCACAAGACCTCAAATCTTTGGCAACAAACCTTTCACAAGAATTACACAAGACTCTCCTCTCTTTCATGTTCAACACAAAGGAGCCCATAATCATCCAAGGATTGCTTATGAACATTTCCAAATGCTTACTCTCAGTTTCTGTATTCAGTGTCACAGACTGGTGACACACAGTTTTTAGCAGTACTGGTCTGCAGACTCCACACCTTTTGAGTAGACTAGAGGGTTACTAGTTGGGCTGCTAACTGCAATGTCAGCAGTTCAGAACCACCAACCCCTGGTCACAAGGGGGAAAGATGTGACTTTCTACTCTCATTAAGTTGCTCAGTCTTGGAAGCCCACCAAAGCAGTTCTACTCTGTCCTATAGTCATAGCAGTTGGAGTCAACTCAATGGCAGTGAGTTGAGGTGCAGCATGAAATAGCGGGACGTAATCTTGTTTCTCAGAAGTCAAAGCTTGCCATTTGCCTGCTATATTCTGGATGAGTGAGACTGTCAGATGTCAGGCCACAGATGAATGGGATGCTGTGTCAGAGTGGAGTTATTTGATGAGATCAGCAGCTGTCATTCAAACCATGTCATTTACCATTTTGTTTTGTATGATAGGTATAGATTTCATATAGACTTAAACTCAAGCCCCCTCCATATGAAAGGTTATACCCGTGTTTCCATTTGTTCGCTCAAAATATTTTCCCACACACAGGGAAATGGAATTATTTATATCCAAGATGGTAAATAACATTAAGCTACTAAAGACCCTTGCATTAAAAGCAGAAGAAAAATCATTCAAAATACCATCCAAAAGACAGAGACAATGTGTGCTAAAGACATTGCTAAAACAACTTAATAGTTAACCTGCTGATAGTCTTGTGAGATGTTGATATTTGTTAATTATTTACATCAAAACTAGTGGTGCAGAATTGTTTGGTGGTATGTCATACACACAGTTGTTCAACCTTTAACCACTTTCATCTCCCACATCCCATAAATTCAATTGGTCTCACTAACTGAAAGATTCTTGCTTATTGCCATGTCAAAAATCCACCACCGCCCCTGAAGTCCAGTTGCCATCGGCTCCACTCAGTTGTACATTAGCATAGATTTGTGTTCTAGCCTCTTACCTAACTTCCTTTCTTCCTTTCCCATTTGATTAATCTTCTTTGGGACCAGTTACCTCCCAAAATCTAATATGAATCATTTCCCATGCTTCAAACATTTGGTGAGCTAGCATAACCTTCCTATAAAAAACAAATCCCTCGCCTTTGTTCATAATATCCTTTATAATCTGAGTCTATCCCTCCAAGATCTTTTCAGCATCTCTATGAAACAAAAATGTCATCCAAATACTACGTCCTAGTTTTCATATATTTTTACATTCTGCTATATTTTAAAGTCAATGGCCCACTATCTACTATGCGATTCTGGACAAGTGAGTTGGTCTTAGTTTAGCTTGTTAATATATTATGAATAAAATTGTAACTCTGATCATGAAACTCATACAGGATCCAATGCTCATCATCTCCCAAGTAAAGTATAGCAAACCTCACTGGAAATGTGGCCGGTAGCATACATTTGGGGGTCTCTTTAAGCTTAGTGTTTCAAATTTCTAAAAATTAACATTCGGATGAGCCCTACAGGACCAGTGGTGTGAGTGGCGAAACAGGGAGGGTAAAGGGAGAGTGGGTAGGAAAGAGGGAACCGATTACAAGGAACTATATGTGACCTCCTCCCTGGGGGACAGACAACAGAAAAGTGGGTGAAGGGAGACGTCGGACAGGGCAAGATATGACAAAATACCAACTTATAAACTATCAAGGGCTCATGAGGGAGGGGGGAGCGGGGAGGGAGGGTAAAAATGAGGACCTAATGTCGGGGGTTTAAGTGGAGAGAAAATGTTTTGAGAATGATGTACAAATGCGCTTTACACAATTGATGTGTGTCTGGATTGTGATAACAGTTGTATGAGCCCCTAATAAAATGTTTAAAAAAATAAAATAAAATAAAAATTAACATTCATTTTTTTCTCTGTGTGTTTGCAAACATGCACACATCTATGTGTGTGCTTTATTGGTACAGGAACATGTTGAAGAAGGCAGAGCCAGCCTCTACAAGTCTGTGGTTTCCAACAGCTGCAAAGAAATGTCTTGCTACTCAGACTTTCCATTCCCTGAAGATTATCCAAACTATGTGCCAAATTCTCTGTTGCTGAATTATCTCACAATGTATGCAGACCGGTTTAACCTTCGAAAGTGCATCCAGTTCAAGGTAAGACACTAGCTATCAATCAGCAGTCAGAGAACATTTCCTAGAGATTTTCTATGATCTCCCCAGAGACTGCCCTGGCTTTTGTATATAAGATAACAAGATTCACAACACCGAGCTGCATTCCTTTAACCCTTGTTCTCACTCCTTGCTCCCAAGTAAATCTGGAGGGGAAGGAAATACTTTTTTATTTTCTGAAAATGTTTGCAAATTTAGTGTAAAATTTTTTATCAGTGCTTTTAGTTTGTGATACTTGCATTCAAGTACACTAAATCAGGTAAATATTTCAAATTACATTTTCAGTTCAGGCTGAACCCTGAACTGAATACAGGTCCCTGGAGACTCTTTTGTGGACTCTCACTTTATAGGACTGGGTTTGTGCAATGGCCCATACACAAGAGCACCTGGTTATTTGAGGGAAACCTATTTTAGATGATCTTGAAAATATGCTGTTACTCTTCTCTTACCTTCTACCTTCTCTCATTCCCATTTCAGAGGATGGAGACAAGAGATAGGCAGAAGGACTGGGACAAATGAATATATCCTCTTTCTGTCCTCTTTTTTCTTTTTTTTTTTTTGCCTCCCTCTCCAAGAAACATATGAAAAGTCACATGATTCCCTTCTCCTATCTCCTTGTCCTGTCATAGAGGGGGATGGTGAGGCATTCAAGGGAACTGACCCAAATATGAACCATTGTGAGAATGGTACAGGACTGGGCAGTGTTTGTTGTACATATGGTTGCTATGAGTCAGAAAGGATTGAATGGAACACAACAACAATAAAAAATACCAAGTAACAAGAATGATGAGAGTGAATGAAGCAGGTAACAATTGAGGTTTGCAGGCCTCGAAGTACTCCTGATGAATTTTCCAAGGAGTATTTTATCGCGCGCTCTCATTTTGAAAAGGACACAGTAAAATAAAGCCCCATCATAGTGGATGGGTAGGGCCCACAAACAGCTTTGAAATAAATGCCCCAGAGTTCCTGAATCCAGACCATTTCCTCCCCAACATGCAAATCAAACCTTTTAAAAACTAGAAGGTGCTATTAAAGTTTTAAGAAAACACACAGCAGCTATCACTGAGAGATGGTCTGTAGTTAGTTTTGTCTGAGGTTTTAGTTTCTGCTTCCTCTGTTTTCCAAATGTTCAGTAATGAAAATTGAGTACTTTTAAATTAAAAGTATATATTATTTTAATTAGCTAAAGATATATATATATATTTAAAAGACAGAAGATTTATATATTTAAAGACAGCATACTTGCATCTCCTAATACAAATGTAGACACATAAGTCCTTCACCTACACCTCACCTGTCAAGCAACATGTTGACATTTTATAATTACAAAAACAGTGAAGAAGAAAAAAAAACTATCTCGCTACCTTGTACTTTAACAGTATCCATCGAGTAGTAAGGATCACTAGGTGAAAGTAACGACTGCAATGGTCAAGGTCAGCTTGGCTGGAACACCATTCTCAGTGGTTTGGCAGATATGTAATGATGTAATTTGGCAGTTATATATATATGTGTAATTTGGCAGTTACTATATATATATATATATAAAATCTTCCATTTTGTGATCTGGTGTGGTCATTCTTCATTTTTGCATAACGCCAATATTCACATCAACACTGGTCTTTGGAGCCTAACCATGGCAGTATGTGAGTAGCAGGTGTAGAAACCAAACAGCACCTTCATGAAGAAGAACTTGAAAAGCCCATCTTGGAAAATTCTGAAGAGGAAAGACAGCAAAGCTTTTTCATCGGTAGATTGTTTATCCTTTTAAATTTGACTTCTCTTAAGTCAGGTTCAGAACCTAGTGCTTCTGGACGTGCAGGTGCTCAGTGGGAGCCAAACAAAAAATGACAACCTGTCGCATTTCAATAAGGCCCTAGATGATTTGGGAAACTTTCAGCAGTAGATTCTGTAAACTATTTCATAACATTCCTAGGACCAGATTTCTGTTGATCATTATTTATTATCCATGTTTCTATTAAATGAACTGTGGTTTAATAGAAAGCTTGATGAGAAACTGTTACAAAAAGGAGCATCAGAGGACCTAAATTATAATCTTGAGTCTATCACTTGCTGCGAGATTTTGAGCAAATCATTAAAAATGTTTGACCCTCACTACTTCTCTCCCATACCCCTTTACAATTCCAGTCTTAGAACCCTCCCATGCAGAAAATCATTAATACAGCCCCTATCCTCGTTAGGATTTTAGGAGTACGCTATTAATTGTGTTCACTCTGTGCTGTGATACATTTAAAATGCCACTAGGAAGCCCTGACTGGAACCATACCAACTGCTGATCCCATCTCTGATTCCTTTTCCAGACTCAAGTCTGCAGTGTCACCAAACGGCCCGACTTTACTGTCTCCGGCCAATGGGAGGTGGTCACTCTGTGCGAAGGAAAGCAGGAGTCAGCTGTCTTTGATGCTGTCATGGTCTGCACTGGTTTTCTTACTATCCCAAATCTACCTCTGGACTTCTTTCCAGGTACAGTACTTTCTGCAACAGACTTTAGATTGCCTCGCGGGTGTCGCGCTGCTATGTGATTGGTCTAGGCACTAGCCCCTGAGGCTTGCTGGGTAAGTAAAGTTGTGAGGTCACAGGGTTTCTTTCTAAACAGCACTTTTCTGGCCAGTTTTTGGGTTTCATTTGGAATCTGTCTTTCCAAACGACATGTGAGTACAGAAGGGTAGAGTGAATAGCTTAATAAGCAATTATGCTTCAATGAGATTCATTGATCTTCCTTAGATGAGGATTGGCACTTAGGAAATCATCTAAGACTCAATCCTTAGACAAGTTTTGAACCTCAGCAGCAATTGGAGAACCACAGTGAAGTATGCAGGCTACAAAGGTCAGCCTATGAATAAAGAAAACGTCATTTTTGTTGGTTTCCTTTTTTGATACGTGCCACAGCACTTAATTAGATTAGAGGTTTATGGCCCTACATCAACGGTCAACAGGGAAATCAGTCTTGAAAGGGAAGTTAAGACATCTTGGGGGTCTCAATATCTTCCTCTGGATTATACAGCCATGGTTCATGTTAATCCAGGTCAAAATTTAATTGGGTCCCATCTCACAGGGCAGGGAGAATGTAATGGTTTGGCTTATGTCATCTGAGGTGAGAATTCAAGTCATAAAAGTACGAAACGTTTATTCTAAAGACTGTTGCCGTGCTTTGGGGTCATAGTGCCTCTGTAAGACTGACAGAACTGCCGCACAGGGTTTCTTACATTGTGATCTATATGGGAGCAGATTACCACGTCTTTTCTCCCGCAGAAAGCTGGTGGGTTCAAATTGCCAACCGTGTGTACCCATTGTTCCATCAAGATTCCTCTCCTTAGGCCAAACTGAACTTGTCACCAAAGCATTGGATTGAAAGCATCAAAGCCAGACATCTTCCCAATGCAGGAAATGCCTCTCCACCCTCTGTGGCAGAGATGCAACCAAAATCAAACCCAAACCCACTGCTGTCAATCAATTCCAACTCAGAGCGACCCTACGGGGCAGAGTAGAACTGTCCCCAAGATTGCTGAGACTATTCATCTTGATTTCTCTCACAGAGCACCTTCTGGGTTCGAACCACCAATTTTTGGGTTAACAATTTCAGTTAACATTTTTCAGATCAGCACTTAACCTACTGCACCACCAGGGCTCCTTAAAGACTCAACAGCCTCTGCAGAAACACACTCTACAATGGACGCCCACCATGCTATGAACAACTCAACCCTTTGTTAGCGCTTGTCTGCAGGGTGAAGCCTTGACCAGCTAACCATTCTATCCTCCTGGGAAGGAGCACCTGCAGCAGAAAGTCCCATAATTACCCGGATGAAACCAAACTCATTGCCATCCAGTCGATCCCAGTTTATGAGGATAGTGACCCTAAAGGGCTATAGAACTGTCCTTGGAAATTCTAACGCTTTGAATCTTTATGGGGCAGATACAGTATCTTTCTCCCACAGAGCAGCTGAACCACTGACTTAACCCTCTGCCTCACCAGCAGGGCTCCTTAGTATTGGGTTACACTGTATTTATTCCTCTCCTACAATATAGGGTACTAGCTGTTGGGCATCCAGAAGTGGGCACAACAATATATGATCTGCTTTGGTAAACTTTTTGCTTTCCACATGGAACACTGGGGCTTGACTCCCTGCCAATACACCTCAGGGACAGTCACCACTCCTGTCGTTGGTGGTTCACCTACTGCTATGATGCTGCATGGGTGTCAGTGAAACTTCCAGACTAGGATTAGGAAAAGTGATCTGGTAATCCACTTCTGACAAATCAGCCAATGAAACAACTATGGGTCACAACAGTGGCATCAGCCACTGAACAGGAGTGCAGGACGGGAAGGCATTTTGTTCCCTTGTTCATGGAGGTGCCATGGGTCTGGGACCGATTTGATGGCAGCAAATGAACAAGGTGGTGAATGAACAGAGTGGTGAGTGAACAAGTGGTGAGTGAACAGAGTGGTGCAGGAGTCTAGTGAAGGAATTACAGTCTTGATATGGCCTAGAGTGACCCCAAGACTCGTCTTACAATAAACTCACATACCTCCTTAGTGTGCCCCCAAAGATCACCCACATCATAGCAGCTCCTATTAGGGTAGTATATAAACAAAAACAATGGAAACAATGTGCTGAAGAGGATGATATTGAGACCTAGGAGATGGGGATTCTATGTCACACCACTAACTAGCAATGAAGTCCTGGGCTTGCCGTTTAACCTCTCTAGCCCTCTGTTCCTTCCCCTTTAAACTTAAGACCTTGGGCCACTTGAACTGTCATCACAGTTCAAGCATGCCAAGCTCTGACCTTTTCAATGTTTTCCTCACCAGCACTAGTAACCCGTCACTCAAAGCCCCTGTCCGGGAGCATGTTTAAGTTCCAAAGTTATATGAACCTAGACTTGAACTAATATACTCCCAACCCCCCACTTCAATCTCCCTTCCCTACCTAACGGCACAAGTTCTTTGTCTGTGCATGCTCCTGAGGTGGTTGATAACTGTCAAAAAATTCAAATTCGCTGAAAAAAAAATTTTTAATGTATCATGAACCCTGGAGCCAATTCCAAAGAAGGAATTCAAGAAAATCTCATTTAAAATAATGGGTAGCATAGTGGGAACAAAAATCATAACTTCCTAGGATGATCACTTTTATTCAGTCAGGCCTTATACATTCTGCTATGTTTACTACCATAATCACACTCTGCTAATAAAGGTAGCTTCTCACTGTGTCCTGTGAAGTGTCCCGTCACAGACTCCACCATACTCTTGCTTTTGACCATTTGAGAACCCAAACGGTCTGCTTGTGAGAGAATCAGAGGTAATATACGTTCTGGAGGGAATTCGGTGATTCTCCACAGGCTTGTCCAGCTCTCCCTCTCCGCAGGTCTCTGATCTATAGTTAGGTCCTTGTGCTGAGTTAATATTTGAACTGGCTTGCGTCTTGCTAACTTTTAAATGCTCTTTCGTGTTGGATTTTAACTGGGATTCATGTGGGATTTCTAATGAATGGTGACATTGTAAAGAGCCATTAGGCCTTGGTAAGGCCCTCTCCTACAGCGTCCACACTTATCCTCTGAGAATCACATCACTGTTTCGAAAGAAAACAGATTATTTACCCACTACATATTTCTGATTGTGTAAAACAGCCTTGAGGGTATATTTCAAAACTCTCTCCTTTCCTATTTGATGTTTCTGCAATCTTTGCTACCAATGACCTAAGATAACCTATCTGGTAAAGCCAATAGATCTAATCCTGCTGCAACCAATGTAATCCCTTTTCCCCTCAGAGCCCAGTCTTGCTACTCAGCAAACTTGGTCTGTGCTACACACCATGATCAAAGTGAATTATCGAAGAACTGCTCCAATCCGCATGGATCTTTGAGAATAGGGACCGTTTATTTTTACCCTATTTCCCCCACATCGTCCAGCACAGGGCCAGACTAGAAGAGTTTGCTAACCAGAGTAGAAGCGCTGACTCAGAGCGCCTTTTACCTTCTTACTATTGCCTGTTATTTGTGAGAGACAAAAGCAACCATAACAAACAACGAGTTGTTGTCTAACTGATTCCAAATCAAGGCAACCATGTGGGGGTCAGAGTAGAACTGCAATTCTAAAGAGGCCATGCCTCTGATTTTTCAGACAGGAGTCCTGGTAGCACAGTGGTTAAGTGTTCAGCTGCTGACTGAAATATCAGTAGTTCAGAGCCACCGACGGGAGACAGATGTGGCAGTCTGCTTCCATAAAGCCTAGAAAATCCTGTGGGGCAGTCCGGTCCTCTCCTGTCGGGTTGCTGTGAGTTAAAACCAATTTGACAGCAGCAAGTTTGGGTAAGTTATCCTTCAGAAGAATAATGAAGCGCCTGTTTTCAGATTTGCACCACCACCCTTCTAATTAATAACCCAAATATTTGACGATGTGCACTGCCCTGAGCTTCTGCAGACAGCAGTTGCCATCACACAGCGTTGACTCGGGTGGGTCAGAGCAGAATTGTACTCAAGGAGGTGTTTTTATTGGCCAATTTCTCAGAAGTGCATTGTCAGGCCATTCTTCCACGGTGCCCCTCAAACCTCTAATCATGGGTTAGTATCCAAGCACTTTACCCTCCACAGCGCTCAAGGACTCCTTGTTTGTGAAGAGCTATATATATATATCAATTCTTAATAAATAGAATACTGCCATCCCATTGACTTCCATTAATCTGCAGAAGATAATGATTCTTGACAGTTTTGCTTAGTATGGCATTATGCCACCAGGGGTCCTAATAAGTATTATTAGTAGGATGATGTAAAAACTTACCCCATTAAATAATCACCTGCTAGCTTTTGCATCTCCTTAATTATTCATACTTCAGATTTTCTTACACATCAATAAGCTAAGATCATCCCTCAAAATGATGCTGTCAACCAAACAATACTCATACCTACATTTCATTTGCTGATTCTGTACAGTCACTATGTTACTTCTTAATTTTTTCTATAGGTATCAATACTTTTAAAGGCCAATACTTTCATAGCCGAGAATATAAACATCCGGATATATTTAAGGATAAGAGAGTCCTTGTGGTTGGAATGGGAAACTCTGGCACAGACATTGCTGTGGAGGCCAGCCACCTGGCAGAAAAGGTACAGTTCTTGATCCGACTTGCTGAAAAGCTTTATCTTAAGATGCATGCCTCTAAAAAAAGAAAATGCATGCCTCAGACAGACAACACTGTAATAAATGAGCAAAGGGCCTTAAAAGGTTGGAATATACACACACATAAAAGCCAGCTCTTTTTTAAATAAATCATTTTATTGGGGGCTCATACAACTCATCACAATCCGTACATACATCCATTGTGTCCAGCACACTTGTACATTTCTTGCCATCATCATTCTGAAAACATTTTCTTTATACTTGAGCCCTTGGTATCCACTCCTCGTTTTTTCCCTCCCTCTCCCGCCCTCCTGCCATCACGAACCTTTGATCATTTATAATTATTATTATTTTTCCATGTCTTACACTGTTCCATGTCTCCCTTCACCCATTTTTTTGTTGTCCCCAGGGAGGGAGTTATATGTAGATCATTGTGATCAGTTCCCGCTTTCTCCCCCACCTCCCCACTTACCTTTCTGGTATCTCTACTCTCAATATTGCTCCTGAGGGGTTTATCTGTCCTGGATTCCCTGTGTTTCCAGCTCTGATCTGTACCAGTGTACAACCTCTGGTCTAACCAGATTAAAAGCCAGCTCTTAAAAGTATATGTTTTGAGGTTTTGATTCCTTGAATGTTCACCAGTATCACTGCAAATTCCAGTCCAGAGTCCCTCCATTAGACCTGTCCACCTTCATATGCTTGTTTTTTTTTCCAGTCATCCAACAAGAGCCACAAGACAGAGATTTTCCTTACCCACTTCCCATGGATCAGAAATTCCTGGCAATTCTTCCTTGCAAAATTCTCCCATTTGTCCATTACTTTTCTAGTTAGTTGCCACCACCCTCATTAACAGGCTTTTCTATTGTCCTCCCAGGAATGATTGGCAAAGAAGTTAATGGTTAGTGGAGCTTGCTCTGGGCCAAGCTCTGCGTGAAGAGCTTTGGTGAAACACCTTAACCAGTTACTGGACCGTGAGACATAAAGAGGTGCCATTGTTGTTGTTGGCCATCTGTTGGTCCCCACTCATAGAAACCCTACAGAACAGAGCAGAACAGCCCCAGGGGGTCCCCAAGGCTGTAATCTTTCTGGGAGCAGATTGCTAGGTCTTTTCTTCCTCAGAGCACCTGGGAGTCTCGAACTGATGACCTTCTAATTAGCAGGCAAGCACACAAACACTGCACTACCAGGGCTTCTTGGGTTCTGTTAGTATACCTGATTACAAATCACTGAGACTTACAGAGGTAAAGTAACTTGCCTCAACTCATGCCACTAGTAGGTGGCCGAGTTAGTCAAGCCCGTGGCTTCAAAGTCTTTGATTCAAAGTCCATGCCCCTAACTAGACCTGTCCTCTATCCCTGCACTCCTGAGTCCCTCCTCCCATGGACAACTGCCATGCGAACCCAACCACCAACAAACAAATCCTCGGAAATGTCTGTTCCCATGATGACAGTCTCATCCTGAGAAATTTCTCATCATGTGCCCCACCTGAAGCAATAAACTGTAGGTGTAGTGACCACACATTACAGGATTCTCCACAATTTGGCCCATGTCTGCCATTTTAATGTTATCCCCTACAATTTTCCTGGAGGGTCATCAACTGCGGCCAAACAGGTCTACCCTGAGGCGCCCCCCAACTCCACCTGCTATTTTCAGTTCCCGTGTCTCTCTTTTCATCCTTGCTCACACCATTCCCTCCCTCCTTCCCTCTCTCCTCTAGTGCCCTCGGCTTCCCCTCAGCCTCCCGTCCAAACACACGGTGATCACTTCCTAGTCAGAGTTTATGTGAGAACATAAGTGGCTCCCTTAGATGGCAGCTTTTTTAATTATTAGCATATCTAAATACCTTAGTATAATGAATGTTGTCTCTCCAACCATGCAGAAACAAATGTACATCACGTGTGGGGTTCTGTTGTATGGCATGGTCTGCCTAAGTTAGAGAACAAAACGTGAACAAAAACAAGATGCCCACCATCACAGAGTACCAAGTCATGCCAATGACAGGATCACAGCTAAATAAATGCCAAATAAATAAGTCTAATGGTTTAGACCATAGGTTCCCAGATTTATTTGGTCTATCAACCCCAGTTTCAGAAAAAAAATATTCAGTACCCCCTTGCAATTAAAACACTTGTTTACTATAGCCCATAATCCAGGATAAAGTGTAGGCATCTGATTTTGCAGCCTCCCTGTACCATTCCAGTTTCCCACAGTGGGCAGTATTGACCACCTTGTGAAACAGAGGGAAAATAGCTAGAACGAAAAATAATTGAAATTCCCTCCTGGAACTTAAAAAATCTCTCCCTGGCTGACGGCTTGATTGGTGGCTATGGAGAGTCCGAATTTGGAGGAGCTTTCCTGAAGGGAAATAAAGGGGACCCTGAAATAAGATTAGCACAGACCCATCCGCTGTGACCACCATATGTGGGCAACCTATTATTGTTTCTATTTCTCTAATCATTTGTAAATTCTTTCATTAGAAAACATGCTTTGTACACATATTATCAGTTCTAAACCAATACAGAAACTCCTCTTGGTTTAGGAAATAATTCATATCCATCAAAATGTCACATCTGATTCTTCATTATGATACAAGGTCGCAGGTTCAGTGCAAACCACTGGTACATGTGCCACCACACTTCTGATGTTGCATAAACTAGTCTATTATGTTATTAGGTCAAACAAAATATATATACAAAATTACTGATGCTGTAACTGTGGTCACCATGCCTCACTTTGGTGAGGGGAAAAAGAATCTGTCGAGCCAGTTGCTTTGTATCTGCAAGTACCAGACTGTTTGGCTAATTGTTTTGCTTTTTATGTAGCTGTACAGATAACTCCTTATTGTGTAGGTACCAAAACTATTTGCTTAATTAATTCACTCTGATGTATAATTCATAAAGACAACTTGTGGGGGGAAATTAACCACGTTAACTGCATGAGTATTACTGAATCTTTGTCACTTCCACCAATGGTTTGTGTCTATAATGGTTTGTGTCTACGATGGTTTGTAGACAACTTCCTATTACTGTCTTGCCCTATTTTTATTGTCTAAAATTATCAGCATGTTTTTATGTGATCTGATTTGTTTTTTACAGTCTGTTTGAATTTTATTCACATATCAGAAAATTCAATAGTTCAATCATATTAAAGAGTTGTCCAATCATCACCACAATCAATTTAGAACATTTTCTTCTTTTTTATACTCATTGTTGTTAGTTTTCCCTTTCCCCCCAACCTCTTCTCCCATACCCAGAAGAAACCATTAATCTAGTCACTACTTCTATAGATTTGCCATCCTGGATTTCAGCTACAGAAGGATAGACTTTTTTAAAAAGCAACAATAACAAAGTAAAATAGATAAAAGCCTCAGTCAAAAGAAAGGAGAAACTATTAAAAACTAGAACAAACTTAAAATGGGTTAAAGGGAGATCAAATGATAAAGTATTACATTTTGACCTAATTGTATCTGCAATAATCTATTCTCCAATGCACTTAACATGATAGCAAGGCTGTTCAAATCTGTGGTGTGTGGTCAAGGGAAGTCCCTAGAGACTTAATCCATATGTATATTTTTTAACTAAAACAATTTTTTTCAAATTGAAAATGTTTTATGCTTTTATATATATATATAAATAATTTTATTGGAGGCTCTTAAAGCTCTTATAATTGGACAGTGTATGATAGGAAAATAATCAAGGGGTTGCATGGGTGGGAGTGTGGGAAAGGGAGGGGAAAAAGAGGAGCTGATACCAAGGGTTCACGTAGAAAGAAAATGTTTTGAAACTGATGATGGCAACTTATTTGCAAATGTGCTTGATACAATTGATGTAAGGATTGTTGTAAGAGCTGAAACAACTTTAAAATGGTTCAAAGGGGCAAACAAATAGTATTATATTTTAATCTGACTACATCTTCCATAATCAACTTTATAATACTCTCTGTCTGATAAGTCTATTCACATCCCTCAACTACAGTCAGAAGAGATTCACTGGAGATTCAATCCATGAGTGGATCTTGCAAATGGATTTTGGGCTTCTACTGTCATACATAGCCTTTTGCAAACCAAGTGTTCACACTTTAAACTCTGATACCATTCCCTCCTTTGAATGCGGATTTTTTTATTTACAATCCTTGGATCACACAGGCTAGTGTGCTTCTTCCATGTGGACTTAGTTGATGCCTCACTTACATGGCTGCTAGTTTGAAGAAAAATCTTTAAGACATCAGATGCTATTCTTTCTGATAGCCAGTCTCTATCTAGTCTCTTCCCCACACTTTGCTACAGCACCTATATCCTCCGTGATCTTTTCTTGAGGGTGTACATCTGTCATAAGGATTCATTGTTCTAAGATTAGGGCTAGAATTAAGTGTGTGCTCAAAATCCATTCATATGTCTATGGTTTATATGTTTCTGATTCACTTTAGGGACATCATAATAGTTTTATGTTAGAAAACATTATTAACTATCCTCCTGAAGCATAAGTTAATTCTCTTGATAGTATCGTTCATTTAGCCAATGGTATAGGCTTTAAAACACTGCTGAAAAAAGGAAATAATGCCAATATAGGCTAGCTATGAAGCAAAGTACAATAGATTGATATGTTTTTGTTAGGAATTGCTGTGCTTACTGGTGAGGTAAGTCGTGCTGTGCTGTGCTAGGTACTACTGAGTCAATTTTGACTCAAAAAGGCCTCATATGACAGAGTAGAACTTCCTTGTAAAGTTTTCTAAACAGTAATCTTTACAGGAGCAAACTACCAGTTCTTTCTCCTGCAAAGTCACTGGATATGTTTAAACCACTAACCCTTTGGTTAGAAATCAAGTGCTTAACCATTGTGCCACCAGGACAACAAAGTTGCGATCAACTGTTCATTTCCTTCCCAAGCTCGACTTTCTTATCCTCCCTGTGACTTGCCCCAGTGTCTCATTCACTATGGTGCTTAGCAGCAAAGGCTGGGACAGAATGCCAAGCGAAAATCAAACTAGTCAAGGTGATTCCAGCTCATAGTTAGCCCTGGTACGTTTTTCAGGGTCAAACTGTGCTCCAGAAGGTTTTCAATGACTGTGAAGTTTGGAAGCCAATAACCAGGATGCTCTTCTGAGGTGCCTCTGGGTGAATCCAAACAGCCATCCTTTTCTTTAGTAGCTAAACTTAGCCATTTGAACCACCGAGGGACTCCTTGGCACATCCTGCACCCAGCAGAAGGATTGCTGAGTCGTATGGAATGTCTATCCCAAATTGTTTGAGGTAGTGCTTTCCACAGTGGCTGCACACAATTACGTTCCCACCCACAGTGTCTGAGGGTTTGGTACATGTACACATGGGGTGGTACACATCGCTAAAAAATAATGATGACATCACAAACCACTGCATGGCATCTATGCACTTGGAGAGCATTATGCTGAGTGAAATTAACCAATCACAAAGGGGCACATCTTGTATGAGGCCACCGTTATAGGGACAAAAAACAAGTGAAAGACCTTCACACCAAAGGGAATAGACTTTGAAGTTTGCCAAGGCTGGGGAGGCGGTGGGGGGACAAAGGAGGCATGAGAAAGCAATGGACTAGACTACTGCTTTGTTGACGGATGCTACTTTGGATGAAATGGAAGCTAGCAGTCCCCAAATGGGGGAAGAGAAATCAGAGGGCAGATGAGTTGATGATATGACATGTAAACCCCACCTAACTTACAACTTGAGAGAGAGAGAGAGAGAGAGAGAGAGAAAGAGAGAGAGAGAGAACAATTTTAAAATAGTATCTCATCAGAGAACTATTTTCAGAGTGTCAGATTTGGGGCTCTTTTCAATTTCTGGCACCATTTCTTACACCTTCAGTAAGGCCAAGTCTGTTCACATGTCAAGCTGAATGAACTCTGTTCTTTCTTCCAGGTGTTCCTTAGCACGACTGGAGGGGCATGGGTAATAAGCCGAGTTTTTGACTCAGGGTACCCATGGGACATGGTCTTCATGACACGATTTCAGAACATGTTCAGAAATTCTCTCCCAACTCCGATTTTATCTTGGTTGATTGAGAAGAAGATGAACAGCTGGTTTAATCACGAAAATTATGGCTTAGCTCCAGAAGACAGGTAATCATCACATTACTGCAGGGGACTCTTAGGAAGAGGGAGCCTCGGCCCTTCCAGTGAACCTTACAGACCAGACAGTAACATAACAACCTGGCTGAATACGAAGGGAGTGTCTTACAAATGCATGTAATAACTCTCTTTGAATGTTCAAGAAGTGAAATGATGTCACTTGTCTTTGTCAATCGCTTTTAAGTACTATCGCAATGTCCCTTTTATTGGTGGGTACCTGAGGCTTCATGAAGACCTGTCACTTCCCAAGCCCATTCAATGGTGTGCGCTATGACGTTGGACAAATTGCTAACCCCTCAGGGGCCACAATCAAATGAGAAGAATTTGTCCATGAATTGGTTGGTGTTGCCCTGTCTCCTCACTTGAGAAAAATTAAATCTTGCAGTTATCCTTCAAAGATTCCTAGTGGCAGTCAGAACCCACCAGCCTCTCAGTAAAGTTGTACAATCTTGGAAACCCTCTGAGGCAGGTCTCCTTCATATTACAGGCTTACTACGAGTCAGAATTGACTCCACGGCAATGGGTTTTTTATTGTTCTTGTTGTTGTAGTTGTCCTTTGTTATCTAAGCCCTTGTTAAATGGTCTTGATTTCTGCCTGGACTTTCAGTTACAACCTATGACTCATCCCATTAACAAGAGCCAAAGGTTTGACTTCCTCCTTGGTTAAATTTGCATGATGACATTCTATAACCAGAGTGACACTCCTCAGAGATCCTATCTGGCATTCCTTCCAATTTCACTCTGGACTAGATGGAATGAACCAAATCCTAGCGGTGCTCAGGCCAGCTGTGATGGCATACAGCCCCCCACCTAGTACAAGCCATCCTGCTTGCTTTTGCCTTCTCCGTCCTGCGCTTGTGTACCTTCTTCTTACTTGCTCTCCTCTTCAGTCTGCCGTCTCCACTTTTCTCTTCCTGTGTCTTCCCTGCCAGCTCTTCCACTTCTAGGTCCAGACCGCTTAGGAGCTCTAGCCTTTTCTATCAGCTTTTTCTACCAGGTGCTTTATGTAACCTGGATTGTAGTTCATGGAATTAAAATGAAATTTCTCTAATCCCATAAACCTCAGGACATTTGGGGAGATCCTGAAAAATGATAATCCTTTTCCTTATTCATGTTTCCCTGTTCATTGGATAGAATGAAAGCATATGGCATAGTATATATGCAAGAACTTTGGAGATAAGAAGGAATTAGCCAAATCATAGGGAGGCACATGCTTCTCATATAAAGCAACAGGAGAGTTGGAACCACTGACCTTGCCTTTAGCAGCCCAATGCCTAACCCACGGTACCCTAAGCTGTCTCCTTTCAACAGAGACAGCTTCTCCAAATGCTGGCAGCTCCGATCCAGGGAGGGAAGGCCCCCTATTGTTCGCTAACAGATCACTTCCTACTCTGGCGCTTTGTTTAGGATTCAACTGAGAGAGCCCGTGATTAATGATGAACTCCCAGGCCGTATCATCACTGGTAAAGTATTCGTCAAGCCAAAAGTAAAGGAGGTGAAGGAAAACTCAGTCATCTTCAACAACACCCCAAAAGAAGAACCCATTGATATCATTGTCTTCGCCACTGGCTACACCTTTGCTTTTCCCTTCCTCGATGAGTCTGTTGTGAAGGTTGAAGATGGCCAGGCATCGCTGTTCAAGTATATCTTCCCCGCACATCTGCCAAAGCCAACCCTGGCTGTTATTGGTCTCATCAAGCCCTTGGGCTCCATGATACCCACAGGGGAAATGCAAGCTCGATGGGCTGTTCGAGTCCTGAAAGGTAAGGATTTGAGAAGTAGAAGGACATCTGTTTTCAGTTTGACACGGGATTTTGAATACCAGAAATGTTGCGGACATCTGTGGCTCCCTCCCACCTAGGGCAACAAAATCTGAAAGAACGCTGTGGACGGAGGTGGAAAGGGAGGCTTCTTGTCCACTGACTATACTTAACAGGGCATTGGGTTTTTCTTTATTTGTGTGTAAAACAGAGATGCTAAGGTCTAATTCACTGGTTAGAATGAAAGCATTTGATATAATATGTATGTGAGAACTTTGGAAATGAATGGTAAGGAATTAACCAAATCTAAGCAAAATCTTTAGAAAACAAGGGGTTTTTTCCTGTTCTTTATGTCTGGCATCTATTCCATTCCATACTGAGTTGCATGATCATAATGACTGCATGCCATTATTAACATGAAGGTTAAATTAGAGGTCAAGACACATAAACAGTGTCTACCTCTTGAGTTATTTGGGCAGAATCAACTGCTTCCGTTAAAATAAGATCGCTCAAGAAATAGAATGGCACAACTCAGTCATATCAAGTGTGATGCCCTCAGTAAGGAACTACTGAGATGCCACGATGTTCCTCTTTTCAGTTGGTGGCATTATTACCAGGACACACCACCAAACAGCTCAGAAGGCTAATCTATTTTAATTTAAGAAAATTTTAAAGGAGAAAGATGAGTAACTGAATACTATAGTCAAAAAAAAAAAAAAAGTAAGGGTGAGATCTCTTTACCCATTAAGTGAACACTGAGAACTAAAGGTAAATTGCATTTTTTTGGGTCTATTTTGTCTTATAGGTATGAATACATTACCACCATCAAGTGTCATGATAAAAGAGGTTAATGAAAGGAGAGAAAATAAGCACAGTGGGTGAGTTAACAGTTTGTGCATCCTATGTGAACTATCCTATTTGGAGCCTGGTAGCATTAGTGGTTAAGCACTGGGCTGCTAACTGCAAGGTCAGAAGTTCAAAATTACCAGCCACTTCAAGGGTGAAAAATGCTGCTTTCTATTCTATAAAGAGTTATAGTCTCAGAATAACTTCACTGGAGCAGTTCTACCCTGTTCTATAAGGTTGCTATGAGTTGGCATTTTGGGGAAGAGTTACAATCTCAGAAATCCACAGGGACAGTTTTACACTGCCCTATATAGTTGTTATGAGTCAACACTGACTTAATGGCAGTGAGTTTTGAATTTTATTTTAATCAAAATTGAAATTGGCCAAACAATAGCAAAAGGAGTGGAGAGTTAGATTTGGAGAAAAGATGCATCTTAGAGGTAAAAACAAACAGCATGATTAAGGAGAGAGGGGAGAAGAAGAAAATTGTGAAGTTTTAATGTCCCAAGCAATCATCACTTCAGACTATGGTTATCTATCTAGCACCATGTGGAGTTCTATGTACCACATCTACCCAACTATTATTATTATGACAGTCCCAACTGTTATTATTACAGTCACCAAAGAAACAATCCCAGTCTGATCCTGGAAGTATCTGCTCATTCATTCAGCAAGTCTCTATTCAGATCTACTGCGTTTATTCAGACCCCTGGTCTAAGTCAGGGTTCTACAAACTGAAGCCTGTGACCAAATCAGGCCAGCCACCTATTTTAAGGTTTCATATCTTTACATGTTGGTTTGTTTTTTGTTGGTTTATTTTTCATTGAAGGAGGAAGAATATTTATAACATGCAATAATCATGTGAAATGCAAATGTAGGTGGTCCAAAATGAAGTTTTGTTAGACACACACTTATTCCTTTATCACACTCCAACAACAGTTAGAGACAGAAACCATTAGCATAGCCGGCAACCAGGGCCTAAATTATTTACCACCTGGCCTTTTGCAGCATAAGTGTGCTGAAAATTCCTGAAAAGTAAAATTATAAGGGGGGGGTGCCAAAAAAAAAAAAATGGGAAAAAGCTCCAGCAGGTAGTTTTCATACTGAGTTAGTGCACCCAGTGGTGTCTCTTGGGAAGTTTCTCTCTGGCCACAGTGAATTTTTTCATAAAAGCAGATTCACTCAAACCTCATTTTTTTGTGATGGCCAACTTAAGAGCATGTGGCTGTGCAATTGTGTTTCCTGCTCAGGAAAAATGCCACAGAAACTGTTGAGACTTTGAATACAACTTACAAGGACAGTGCTATAGGAAAAACTGAAGTGTATGAGTGGTTTTCTTGTTTCAAATATGGTGAAATATTGATTAATGACAAACCTCGTTCTGGATGTCTGTCAGCTTCCCAAATGGATGAAAATGTCAATAAATTGCATGCACCTGTGCTCCAAGACCGATGACGATGGACCATTGAAGAGATAGGGAGGTTATCTGGCCTATCCTGGAGCTCGGTTCAGCGAATGAAGATTTGAGAATGAGAAGAGTCGCTGTGAAATTTATGCCTCGGGTTGTGACTCACCAGGAAAAGCTGGTCATTGAAACTGAGCATCAAGTGGAAACATGCCTTGCTTTGAAAGAACAGCTCCAAAGCAACCCAGATTTTTTTCCCATGGTCATTACTGGTGATGAGACATGGTGTTATTCTTACGACCCTGAGAGCAAACATCAATCAAGCCGGCAGAAGATGACATCATCACCTCACCCAAAAAAAAAATCTCATCAAATGAAATCAAAGATCAAGACAATGTTAGGGTTTTTTTATGTGAGGGGACTAGTGTATTTGGAGTTCATGCCACCAGGTCAGACTGTTAATCAAGCTAGCTATTTAGAGGTTCTGAAAAGATTTCGGGGCAGTGGTCAACAAAAAAGGCCTGATTTGTGGCTGACGTGGGACTGGTTTTGCCACCACCACAATGCACCTGCTCTCGCAGCCATCTCAGTGAACCAGTTTTGGCAAAAAATCAGCAAGCCTCTTTTGGCCCATGCACCTTAATCACCTGGCCTCCTCCATATGCCTTCTTTTTGTTTCTGCAAATGAAGAGGGATATTAAAGGATAGCAAATTGATGACATAGAAGAGGTGAAGAAAAAAATGAGAGAGGTGCTATCAGCCAACCAAGCAGATGAGATTGGAAAATGTTTCCAAGAATGGAATCGCAGTTTTGACAAATGTATTAAGTGTAATGGAGAGTACTTGGAAGGTGATAAGGTTGTTTTGTAAACAATTTAAATATATAGCTTTGAAAAAACTTTCCAGGGTTTTTTTGGGCGGGAGGGGTGCCCCCCACATACAGTGTAAAATGCTTATTGGCGTACACATCAGCTAATGATTTTATTACCATTACAACAGGAAACTCTATTGATTATTGTGGCTTTTTTTATTATGCAAACATATCACTAGGGTTTAGAAATATTTGCAAATAGAAGTTATACCAACTATGTTTTCCTTGAGTGGGGGAAAAGGAAGTGGTGTTAACAAACCCAGGGACAAGGGAACAAGAAGTGATCCAAATCGATGGTAAGGAAGGTGTAGGAGAGCTTCATTAAGGGTAATGTAGCCAAGAGGAATTACTGAACCCCAAATGAAGACTGAGCATGATAGTGGGACAAGAGGAATGTCAAAGGAAATAGAGGAAAGTGCTAGGAGGCAAAGGGCATTTATAGAGGTCTAAATAAAGGCATGTACATGTGTAAATATATTTATATAGGAGAATGGAAGAATAGATCTATGTGCATATAATTATAAGGTTAGTATTAAGGTAGCAGATGGACATTGGGCCTCCATTCAAGTACTCCCTCAACGCAAGAATACTTTCTTCTATTAAACTGACATTCCATGATGCTCACCTTCCCAACACGATTGCTGAAGACAAAGCAGGTGCATAAGCAAATTGGTAAAGAAAGCTGATGGAGCCCCACTATCGAAAGATATAGCGTCTGGGGTCTTAAAGGCTTGAAGGTAAACAAGCGGCCATCTAGCTCAGAAGCAACAAAGCCCACATGGAAGAAGCACACCAGCCTGTGTGATCACAAGGTGCTGAATGGACTAGTTATCAGGTATCAAAGAACAAAAAAAATCATATCATTGTGAATGAGGAGGAGTGGGGACCCAAAATCCATCTGTAGGCCACTGGACACCCCCTTATGGAAGGGTCATGGGGAGGAGAAGAGCCAGTCAGGGTGCAGAGTAGCAATGATGAAACAAAAAACTTTCATCTAGTTTCTAAATGCTTCTTCCCACCTCCTACCGCCCCCTTCCCCCACTATCATGATCCAAATTCTACCTTACCAATCTGGCTAGACCAAAGGATGTACACTGGTACAGATAGGAAATGGAAACACAGGGAATCCAGGGTGGATGATCCCTTCAGGACCAGTGGTGAGAGTGGTGATACCAGGAGGATGGAGGGAGGATGGGGTGGAAAAGGGGAACCGATTACAGGGATCTACATATAACCTCCTCCCTGGGGGACGGACAACAGAAAAGTGGGTGAAGGGAGACGCCAGATAGTGTAAGATATGACAAAATAATAATTTATAAATTATCAAGGGTTCATGAGGGAGGGGGCAGCAGGGAGAGATGGGGGGGAAATGAGAAACTGATGCCAGGGGCTTCAGTAGAGAGCAAATGTTTTGAGAATGATGAAAACAACAAATATACAAATGTGCCTTTACACAAATGATGTATGTATGGATTGTGATAAGAGTTGTATGAGCCCCTAATAAAATGATTTTTTTTTAAATCTATGTTTTCCTCAAAAATCACTTATCATTGAACAAAACATTTAAAGTAACACAAGATGCATTATGAGCATTTATTTATAGCACCTATTGAAAGTGCTGGGTATAAAGTATGTCCTCAAGCAGCCTCTTGTGCATTTAAGACATGAAAGGAAACCGTTAGGCAGTGGTGGAGTGAGGAAGAGAAACACATAGATCATCCCCCGTTTCTGCAGTTGCTTTTGTTTCCCTGCGCTGTGATGCTCATTGTTCCATCTTTTTATGTCCTTCTCCCCCAATCTCCTTTTGATAAAGGTTTGGCTTCTGCTACTGCAAGGCTTTACAATCGGATTATGTCTCATACATGGATGAGCTCCTGAGCTATATGAATGCCAAGCCCAACCTGTTCTCCATGCTCCTGACGGATCCACGCCTGGCTTTGGCCATCTTCTTTGGCCCATGCTCACCATATCAGTTCCGCTTGACTGGCCCAGGGAAATGGGAAGGAGCCAGAAATGCCATCCTGACCCAGTGGGATCGAACATTCAAAGTCACCAAAACTCGAATTTTACAAGAATCTTCATCTGCTTTTGCAAAATGTCTTAAACTCTTTAGCTTTCTGGTTTTGCTTATGGCTGTTTTCTTGATTTTCCTGTAAGCAAAATACTTCTTAAATGCTTTTTCAGATGCACAGAATTGATTTACAATGCTCTGGTTCCTGCGTTGCAACAAGCTCTTTCTACACCATATCCAGAGAGTTGAGGCCACCCCTGACCTTCTGGGCTGGCCCCAGGGCTACCCCTGCCATTCCTGAGCCTCTCCCAGCTTTGTCTATGCTAATGCTAGAGGGTAATAACAAAGTTTTCTGTGTGGTTCAAGGCTTCTGGAAGGCTCCAAATTTACTGTAGAAGAGAGGACTTTTCTAGTATGCTATTTTCATAAATCTCAACTAAAACACATCATTTTGCAAAATGCTGGATTGTACTGAAATGGTGCTTTTGTGATCTCAGCTGATTAAAAAGAAAGAAAAAAATCTAGAAACAGATGCTTTCAAGTGGTCTTTTGTTCTCTTTTTCAGAAGGGAAGAATAAAGTGACTTTTTATGAAACCAGCCCACAATGTATAGAGAATTAATGAGTTAGTAGAATAAGAGCACAAAAGGTTATTTTAAAACTCACCTGCCTCCCTCACCTCTCAGGGTTCCCCCAGACCATTGGAAGAAGCACACCGCCAGTGTAATCATGAGGAGTCATAGGGACCGGGTAATAGGCATCAGCAGACACATAACAAACAAAAACATATTGTTGAGAACAAGGGGGACTGTAGATAGTGGAACAATCTCCCCACAGTGGGTCCACAGGGAGGGGATAAGTCACCAGGATGCAGTAAAGCATCGATGAAACACACTATATTTCTCTGGTTCCTTGAGGCTTCCTCACCCCCCACCACCATGACCCCAGTGCTGCTTCTCAATTCAGACTAGAGCGGAACATGTACACAGGTATAGAAAGGGATGGGAGCTCACGACACACAGAATCCAGGAACAGGAGTGGGAATAGTGATACCAGAAGGGTAGGAGGAAGATGGGAAGAGGAAGGGAGGAAGCGGGAACCAATCACAATGATCAACACATAACACACCCCTCCTCCAGGGGGATGAACAACAGAAGCCAAGGGGGAAGGGAGACAATGGTGGGTGTGAGATATGAAAATAATAATCATTTATCATTTATCAAGGGGTCACAAGGGTGGGAAGGAGAAGGGGGGAGAAAAAAAAGTTGGTACCGAGGGCTAAACAGAAAGTCAATATCTAGAAGAGAATAAGGGCAACATATGTACAAACATGCCTGATTCAATTGATGTATGGATTGTGCTGAGTTGTAGGAGCCCCCAATAAAATGATTTAAAAAGAAAAAAATTACAAACACTTAAAAAGAAAAATCACCTGCCTCACAAGTTTTACTCAGTCCACAACGGGATGCTCCGGCTGGCATAAGAAAGACTGGCGGTAAATCAAACCACACCCAAAGACAACAATGCCTGGCCCTCTTAGAGGGACTGCAATGCCCCGGGGACAGCTACACCCCTCTCAGATCCCCCTACCACACTGCTCCACAGAGTAAATGGGGCTAGCCTCTTAAGACACAATCAAATTCAAATTCAATTGGGATTCAACTGGGAAAACGGCACAATTAAAACGTCTCTCATAGATGCACAGCAGAGTAAGAAAAAGGAGGGCGTGAAGAGAGAAGTAAAAGTAAACATCATTTCAAAAGTAACTTTTGACAAACTAGAGGCACCACCTTGATTCTTTCTCCCAAGTACATCTGGGTGACCATGGGACTCACAGTCAGAAACAGTTTCGGCTATACTTTATCTCATTGGTGGGCTCTTTGTCTCATTAGTGGGCTCAGATGCTAAACCCCAGATGGCAAATGGCACCTCACGGAGAGGTGCATGGTTCAGGACTGCCCGGGGAGGTGGGGGAGGGTGTTCAAAAGAGAGGTAAGCGAAGAGTGAGCTCTGTGTAGCATAGATGCAGGTAACTTCTTCAATCTTTTCTTCCAGTCAATTATAGCTCCTCAGTAAATATTCTCCCAATTCTTAACCTTTCACCAAAGAGATTTCATTTCTTAACACAAAAACTCATTTTAAAAAAAAGAAAGAAAACTACTCTAATGATTATAATATAGGTACCCCTGGAAAAACCCTGTTTCTCTTGAAGCAGAGTTAGCATCTTAGCATTCCTCATGAAGTTGACTGAGAGGAGACTCAGACCCAAAGCAAGACGCAGTAAAGTAAACCATCCAGGCCACCGTACCAAAGTGCAGGGGCAGAGGGTGGTTCCTGAACCTACTCTCATCGTCTCTGCTGGGAAAGTGCCAGACAACAGCCATACCATCTATGTCAACAGGACTCAGCCCACAACATGTGCAGCAACCAAACCCAGGAAGTCAAACCACTTTTCTACAGCAATTGGCCCAGAACAGGTAGGTCTTGGTCAAAGAATGCTAACTTTCCTCATTTCTGTCCCACTTCCAACTCAAGACGAATCAGAGAAAGTCAAATGTGCTCCCCCAACCAATCAGATATGATGCCCCACCTCCAGCTTCCCCATGACGACCACCTCCAATCACAGTACATCTGAACCCTCCCTGTTACCACTAGAAAGCTTTCTCACTCCCTGCTTTCCTTGGACTCTCAACCAAACTCAAGTGATAGTGATGGAAATTCTTGCTATTTCTAGTGTGGGGGGGGGGTCTTCTTATCTTTTTATCAATTCATATATTTCCCATTGTGTTTGGGGTTTTGCATTTCATAGGTCCAAATCTCCATAATTCAAAATTTCCATTTTTTTCCTGTTTACCCCACCCTCTTCTCTGATTCTGACTACACTAGGCCTACTAGGTCACAGTATAAACAGACTCGATAGAAAGAAAGTGTTCTCTTTCCTAGCTCAAAAGTTATTTCACAAATTATAGTGAGCAGCAGTATCATTTTTCTCCACTCAGAAAATGAAAGCAACATTTCACTTAGTTGGTTCCCAGTAGTGTAGCACAAGAGGAAACCTGGAAACATATTTCAAACTTGAGGGTTGCTGACTCTACTTCTTGTACATTTTTTATCAGAATGAATCCCTGGGGCATTTAATTTCTATGGGTAGCTTTTTAAATTTTAATTATTTTCAATGTATTCAAAGACTAACCCTTACTGAGCCAGCTTTCAATAAAAATGCCTGGAGTCCTGATGGCCCTGTCAGATAAGCATTGGGTTGCTACACACAAAGTTAGCAGTTCAAACCCACCAGCTGCTCCAAAGGACAAAGATGAGGCTGTCTGCTCTCATGAAGATTTACAGTCTCAGGAACACTCTAAGTTACAGTCCACTCGATGGCAGGGAGCTACCTGATTATACGAGGGCATTGATGAATCAGTATTACAATTCTCACCTTTTATGCTGGAGATCTGGGTTGGAATATCATTCAATCTACCTCATGGACAGTCAAGGGTCAATCCAGCAGCCAATAACAATGTCTCTTTACATATCCTCTGGACCTTTCAACTCTGTCCACTGTAGCGGAATCTTAAGGCATGGCACTGGGGAATCGTAACTAGAGCTGATGCTTAGAAGTACAGGTTCTGACACTTACTAGCTATGTGCAAATTTCTTACTTTTCCTTAAGCAATTTTCTTACGCAAATGTCTTACTTTTCCTAAACCACAGTTTTCCCTTCTATACATAATGACTATAATACATCCTATCTAATAAGTAACATGTTAGTGAAGATAAATGAGCAATGGTTGCAACAATATAGTGGCAGGGAGCTGTCTGAATTTCAAGCCAGATTCAGAATGGGACATGACACAAGAAATATCCTTGCTGAAGTCAAATGAGTCTTGGTTGACTGAAAGCAAAGCATACCAGAAAGATGTCTATTCTTGTTTTCTTGACTATGAAAGGCATTCAACTGTGTGGATCATAACAACTATAGATAATATTGAAAATGATGAGAATTCCAGAACACCTCATTGTGCTTATGCAGAACCTGTACATGGATCAAGAAGTAATCATAGGAATAGAACAGGGGAATACAGCATGATTTAAAACCAGGAAAGATGTGCATCAGGGTTATGTCCTTTCACCATATTTATTCGATCTGTGTGCTGAGCAAATAGTCCAAGACACTAGATTATATGAAGAAGCATATGACATCAGAATTGGAGGGAGGGTTCATTGCAATCTGCGATATACAAAGGACATCCTTGCTTGCCGAAAGTGAGGAGAACTTGAAGCACTTGCTGATGAAAATCAAAGGCTACAGCTTTTGGTATGATTATTACTCAATATAAAGGAATCCAAAATCCTCACCACTGGACAAATAAACAACATCATGATTAATGGAGAAAAGACTCAAGATGCCAAAGACTTTATTTTGCTTGGACCCACAATCAATGTTCATTGAAGCAGAAGAAACCAAATGACATATTGCATTGGGCAAATCGGCTGCCTCCAGACCTCTTTAAAGTGTTAAAGAACACGGATGTGACTTTGAGGAGTAAGGTGTGCCTGACCTAAACAATGGTATTTACAATTGCCTCATATGCGTGTGAAAATTGAGCAATGAATAATGCTGGAGATAAGTGGATGCATTTGAAATATGGTGTTGACAAAGCATATTTAAAGCACCATAGACTGGCAGAAGAACAAGCAAATATGCCCTAGAAGTACAGCCAGAATGTGCCTTAGAAACAAACATAGCAAGGCTTCCCCTCAGCTACTTTGGACACGTTGTCAGGAGAGACTGCCGTCCCTGGAAACGGTAAAGTGGAGAGTCTGTGAAAAACAAGTGTGAAGATGGTGCCAGATTAGGACCCCGCATCTCACTGGGGTCTCATGTACTTTGCTCTCCTTGATTTCAATCTTTTCATTCTGTTAGAATCCGTGATGAATGTTAAAAACCTGTTCCCCTTTAGAAGTTAAAAATTAAGCCAGCTCCCTTTGAAGGATCGAACTTGCTAACAATTTCTGTGCCTGAAATGTGGACAAGCCCCTCCACGCCCGGTGAACCAGATGGCCTGTCTCAGGCTGACCCATAAAGTTGTTCATTGCTCCAGAAGAACCCTCTCTACTGAGGTGACTTGCTTTTTCATGAGCTTTTTTCCCTGAAACCTCCCTTTTCCTTGCCAGTAAAAACAGCCCTTAATCTGTTGCTCAATGAGACAGGACAGCATGGTGATTCACACCCCTGGCCAAGGGTGTGAGGGGATTCACCAGAGGCTCGATCCATGAAGAGACTGCAAATGAATGTTGAGCTTTTGCTGTCATCCATATAATCACATATCATACCATTCGATGGTTTGTGTTAAGTAGTACTAATATTAAAATTTAAACTCTAAGACTCTTTCCTCCTCCAGTTTTGGATTTTATTATTTTCAACCCTTGTGTCACACAGTCGGGTGTGCTTGTTCCATGTTAGCTGACCCCTCACTTAGATGGCTGTTTGTTTTAAGACAAGCTTTTAAGACCCCAGGTGCTAGTCTT